TACATTCGAATGGGGAACTAGGCGAACGTTTCCGCAATGGCTAATCGGGTTCTACACGGGGATCGGGAAAAGCTGCGGGGAAGGTGCGAAGAGGAGAGAAGAAGGAGAAGCTGGAGGAAAAAATGGCGAAAGACAGAGAAAGGAAAGAGAAAGGAGGAGGAAAAAGTGACGCTTACCTTCATGTTTGCAGCTTGTGTCGAGCAGGGAAGAGAAGTTAAGCGTGACTGATGCTGGCTTCGGCGTCGATCAAGTGTTTTATACCTGGCCGTTTGCCCAGCCTCCGAATTCGTCGGATCGGTTTCGCTCCTCTTTCTCGCACCTACTCGCTCATGCTCGCGACTGTCCTTCTCGACCTCCTCCGGAGTGTCGCCTGAACGAGACGAGGAACGACGGAAACTGGCAGGGAAGGGAACGGACGGAACGAAAGGTAAACGCGGTACACACCTTCCGAGAATTACGATGACACGTGCCTGTTAACCACTAGGTTACTCTCTCACGCCTCCATTTTTCCCGGCAAATTAATTCTCCCTGTTGCGCCGAGTCTGCATTCGACATGACGACACCGAGGAACAACTCTGTCGTAAATCGAGTGGTCAATCTACATTTCGTTGTCTCCGATAATTCGGAAAAGAGGGAAGAGAGACGTATCCTTGGCTCTTTCTTCCTTCTTCTTCCCTCGAACGTGCATTATGCAACCTACGACAATGCACGAGCAAATATCGTACCAGTGCTAATAACGACTGCGAGAACCCTGATCGTGTGCATAAGCAGATAAATACGTAGGTCGGGATTTCTTGAAGCAAAGGATTCCGAATAGATTAGGATTCCTCGTTGCGAAATGACAGAAACGGTTGTTTCGGTGTTTTACAAGCATCTCTGAGTTGTCACGCAGAAGTTAACGCAATCCGAACCTTGTTACGAGGCTTCATCTTCCAAAATGGCCCCGGTCCTTTGTAAACGCTCCGCGATGGAGGAAAGATATTAGCGAACTATTCGGTAAATTACTCGCGAAGGTTTTAAATTTGCCGGATTAATGCCTCGCCGAATTTATTAGGAAGTATCGCAAATACGAAGCAAGCATCCGCGCCTGTTTGAAGTTTCGATAACAATGTTACCGCGGGAAACGCATAGTTTTACCGGAACTTCCTGCGGACGTCCGTGTAACAATTTCTTATGGGGATATTAATTTTCGGCACAGAAGAGATTCGAACGTGCCAATTAATAAATTAATTACACGATGGATTATAAAGTGATTCGAACGTTGCGTCACGGAAAATGAAATTAATATTTAGTGCCTATGTCAAAGACAAACGGCACACGTGTCTGCTTTTTTGCGGCTCTTTGAACGTGCGCGTATTTTTGATAAGTCGTAATAATATTGCTTTGTGTTTCGAAAAGGGAATAAAAATTCGATAGTAACTTTGACGTGAAAATATAAACGTAGCCGTAACGCTGTTTCAATTATTGCCAGATTAAATGAAATCGAGTTGAACTTGCCTATGCGTATTTTTTAGGTTATGTACCTATTCGTAGATATATTTTTAAACCGCATCGGGAATCAAAAATTAAAGAGAAAAGAGGAATTTTTATTAATTGTATTTCTATTTCTGTTACATCGCACACTGAAGTTTAATGCGTTACCACGCGAAAGTAGGGATCTGTAAAAAAACTATTTGGGGTTTTCGATGAACCACGTTGGAAAGAGAATTAGAATTCACGTTGTGTAATAATATTCCGTAAATTGGTTACTCTTAGTCGGGCTCGTTAACGGGATTTGGAAAAGAAGAAGCGCAAGAGTAATATTTATCGTAAAGATAAAGAATCGTTTTATACTTTGTTAATTTTGAAGAAGTCGCGCTAATTGAATTTGAAATTGCCGCGTTTTCCAACGCGACTAGACAGTCGCTAGTGTGACACTCTGTTGAACCGGACTGATCAAAGATGGCGCAGTCTGGTGAGTGGGTTATGTTTACAAATCGCGTACGACGAGTCAGTTCGATGATCCATTGTTTACATTGTTTTCCAAAATCATGAAATGATTATTTGTCGATGCTATTCGTTCGTTTTAGCATACCCCGACAAGATGAAGCCGTATCGAGGTAACTCTAATAACTAATAACCAATAACTCGCGAAAATTACAGGAATTCGCAAGCAATTTGTACAACGTGTTCGCTTGGATGAAAATGTTTGATCTCGAAGCAATTAATTCGGAAGTATTGTTATAATGCTTGCTAGCATTACAAAGTATATCGAGTGTCATTAAGAAGGTATATTTTCTAATATTCTAGCAAGCTAATTAAATCGAGTTGTTATTGTAAATTTATTTTGCTCTGCAGCGCCAACAGCTAATCGTTAAATCAATGCACCTGCGTGTATTTAGAATAAGGAAACAACATTTGTCGCACGATCGTATATCGGAACTGAGGTGGTAAGTAGTTTGGTTTATTATTCAATTTAAAGGATGTAAGACATATTAAGCGTTTCGTTGATGCGCTCAAAGAACCTCATTTGTTTCTTCTGTCTTTAAGAGCTGTCGATACTGTAGATCTCAGAAACATCCAAGGTTAATTCACTACCTCCAGGCAGACAATGGTCGAGCTCTTTCTATTACCAGCAGATACTTTGGAAAATTATCTCGGCTATTTCCACAAGCTATTAATCGTGTATAAGACTGCGGTTCATTCATTCTGTTTTGCAACTTCATAAATATTCATCGTATTCTAAGGTCTATTTGAAAATGTTGTTTACTCTTTCATGCTTTCTAAAGCAAAAGATACGCAATTTCCGCGAAATACACCTCGCGTATTCGTAAAACGAACACTCTCCGTCCAAAGGTCAGAAAATTGCTGGCATAAAAAGATGGGTCCCCCTTCAGGCAGCGAAGAAAGGCCGAACGAACACGATGATATTCAAAAGTGTCCAACGTTTGTCACCTCGCGACGGTTGTTTTTACATTTCGCTTTATACACGCGCTTACGTTATTAAAGTCGCTTGAATGCGCCGCTTTGAATTTGTACGTGGAATATTCCATGCAAAATCGCAACGGTGCTAGGCGTCGTGTCCTCGTTCGCTTTGAATTTATTATAACTTCGCTCACAAGGAAGCCTGTCCGAACGGTACCATAACGTCCACCGGTCTTGTTCGAACAGAATTCCGATTCGTCGGCCATTCGTGAATGCGAAAATCTCCCCGTCGATAAGATTTTTGCCGATCGATTGGTCCCATTGTCCTTTCTCTGATTCATTGACGTCTGCAATTACGCGATTGCCCTTTAATTACGTGATCAACGCGTAAATAATTTATGGACAATGGACGTTATCAACGAACGCGAAATCGGGTAATTGACGCTGCCAATTGTCCTCTACTAATCTATGCTAATCATTATTAATCGCCGCTGCGGAAGTTTCTGCACGGACACTGCGTTTGAAGATTTCCTGTGAAGAACAATCGGATACAATTTCCAACGTAACGACTCGACTAACGCGATATTTCGATTATCTGAACATTTCGAAATTCGAATTTTCATATTTCTCACTTGCAATTGGTATATAGAAACGTTTAAAAGCTCGCAAGTGTTCGGAGAATTTCCCAATTTAAGTGCCACTTGAAACGTTTTGAAATTACTCAAAACGAGTACCATTCGAGTTCAAGACGTACTTCGATGAATTTTTCTCCAAATTCTCGTCTATTTACTCCAAAGAAATCTTATCGTCGGAGTTGCAGACGGATTGCGGACTTTTATTCGTAATAAAAGAAATAATCGAAGTATCTAAATAACGCCACTTCTGTGTACTCTGTAACGTTATTTACACGTGGATGGTACGCAAACTATTTTCCGGAATTTATGGCCGCGCATGCACCGACAACTGCTGTTCCAGGAAGCCCAGACATTGGACGCCGACGCCGACGCTACCGATGCCTCCTTCCCCGCGAGATTTCAGCGAAATTACGTCGGCAAACTTTTAATCCCCTCGCAGCCAACATATCGTGTCAAAGCATCGTAGATAAAGGAATTCAAATTAGCCCTGTAACGTTATGGATCGCGTTACACTCGCGACATTTTCTCAAAAATTCGAGGGACTAATAACAATGAAACTCCATTAACCAACCAGCGAGGCAGGAGCTTTTCACTCGATCGAAAGATCGATTCTTTAACAAAGGTTTAACAAAGATCCCATAAAGAACCACGAAAAAGTTGGATTTTATTTTAACAGGGATAACGATGGAGGAAGAAAGAAGTTTAGTTTCAAGTGGAATTCACGTTTCACAAATTCGGAGCTTTCTCTATCTCTGTCCTTCTTGCTCGTTCTTAACCGTTGTTCCTCGGAAGCTATTGTATTAAATCACGAGCGAGCAACTTATAGATAAGAAGTCTACTTAAAGTCCAAAACGAAGATCCCTAACTCGTAACTGGTAATATTCTTTCCCAGACCGTGACGTTACATCTTATACTGCATAAGAATTTCGCTCGACACGAGATTCTTATAAATTCGTTCCTCCTTAAATCGCGGAATAAGACTGTTACTCGAAATCGGGGATCCTAGTAGACCGTAGATCTCTGCTTCGAAATTAAGTAAGAATTCCATTCGAAACTTAGGAACCTTGTGAGATGTAATTTATACTCCAAGACCTAAAGTGGAACCGAGGGTTTTTACCGGGTACATCGTACAACTTTCACGAACTTAATCCACAGAGATACCCAAACGTGGAAAGAATCAAAGGACCACGAACTGGAGTATGTCTCGTGACAAATTGCATCTTATTTTCTGAGATATTCCCATAAAAGGAGAAAAGTTAGGATCCTATCTTCCATGGCTACACCGATAGTTACTCGTAATGCAATCGGAACCTTGAGTTTACACCTAGTGCGTGTCTCTTCTTCGTCGATTTTCGTTCCATCTCGTCATCGATCGCCCATTTGTATACGTTTGCAGAAGTTTGATCTGCAAAAAGATTGGAAGTGTCATTTTAACACGTCAAATGTTGGCATTGACATTGCAACTCGAATTAGAGTTGCCCTTAAAACTTCCTGTTTCAACACTCGTGTTCTCTTCAATTATGTTAGGGGTTGTTGAAATGTCTTCCGGTTCGTCGAGAGCGATATCGTAAAACCGAGAGGACGGCGAACCGTGGAATTCTGTGGTCGATGCAAAATTCAGGAAGCCACCCAAAACAGCCTTATTGGCGTTCTCGGGTTCCCACCTTTAGCCACAACTATCCTGGAATGCCGTGCGAATAACATCCAGTCAGTTTTTCCGAATCGATCGCACTTCAGATTATTCGGCACTGCTCGAACTTTGTATTAACAATCAGCAAACTTCGTAATTAGTGCTTCTCGATGGCTGCAATATCGAAGAATTCATACGAATATTTATCTTCTTCCAGTTATCAGAATTCTCAAGATAGCAAGACATCAACGTACAGGCTTAAAAGAAAAATGGCTGGTCCCAGATGTTTGAACGAGTCAAATACATATATCTAAGATCACTCTAACTTGAGATTCAAAATTGAAAACTTATCTGTCGATAAAAGGTACAGTTTACAATATACTCCAAAATAATTGAAATCGGTGAGAAACCGGCACATCGATAAATTCACTACTTTTCTTGTTCAGCTATTAATTATTTACTGTTTGGTTGTTATTGCAGACAGGATAACTAGAAACAAATACACCCACGCACGTCATAAATGGAGGATGTTAGTCAGTGTTGGTCGAATGAATGGAGACGAAAGTGAACGAAAGCGAACGACACCGAAGCAACTACCTTATTCGAAACGATTAAACGGCCCGTAACAGCTGGCAACGGTACCGGAACCGTTTCATTGTCCACGATCAGATCCGGTGGATACGGCATAAGGGAATTGCTCTCTAGTTACATATGCGCGACGCATCCGAAGTTTGGTCGAGCGCTGTCATTATCGCCACGATTATGCATATTCAGATAAGCAATCAACACCATTGAGGTACCGGGCAAGGGTCACAGAGTGGAACAGAGATTTAGTCGGGCGCGTCGGTGTGAGTTTGTGCACGTAAATACACGGAGTCGTGGTGTATGGACGCGCGCGCTCGTGCTGACGAACATGGCGATTCAGAAAACTTTGCTTCCCTTTAATGCGAGATTAGCGTGATGCACGATTTGAAAATCAATCGCGAGTCGTCGGCGTCGATGAAATCAACGCAGACGATAGCCATCGGACTAAGAGAGGAAAAAAGAGGGTGAATGAAAAGTTGACATTGAAATGGAATGACACGTAATGCACGAGCTAGGATAACTGTCTTGTCTAATGCTTATGACAAACGTTCAATCTTAATTAATATTTTACGAAGATAGAGTGTCAACGTTACTCGATATCGAGTTTAGAGAGCGCTCCTAATGGCGTCCTTCTCTCGCGCGCGCGTCACCTAATGCAGTGTCAATATTTTATCAATCCCCATCGATATTTTCGTGTACTCTACACATCTCGCGATATCGTACACTTTGTGTAGGCATCAGTGTCTCTCATCGATGCATCCCCAAAAGTTTCGCTACTCATCCACGGTATGAATATTTACAAAGAACTGAACCGAATAATCATGTCGTACGTGGACCAACGCGGATTCTTCTGTCATCATAATGACAGAAAAATAATTGCTAAGAAAACGAATCGTGAATAGGAAATGTCTTTAACTTGGTACGTAGCTCTTTTCTTGTTATCGTTTCCCAAAAATTGATGAAGCTAGATATGCGAACAATGGCTCCGTGATGGCTAAATCCCGTTTAAGGGTTATCGATATATATTTTACCGTCCTGTCAATATTGAACATCATCCTAATATTGTCTCTGGCTGGCTTCTTCATCAGAAAAGTCCATAGAATTACTAGATGAGTTTGCTACACATTACTGTATAGGAAACTCATGTCTGATGAAGAACTTTCTGTAAAAATCCAAAAATATGCGCTTGGAGGCTTATTTTTAAACTTTAATGATCAATTAAAGTTATTCACAAGCACAAATAATTATAATTATAAGCTTCGATAAACCCAGGATACTCTCACCTAGCTTGTAGTACAGTAATGAATCTCCTAACCTTACTTTTTATGTAATACTTCATTTTAGCCAAAAATCGTGTCTTTTTAGAAAAACTCCCATTTTTCGGAAACCGAGAGTAATAGAGCAATTTCGATTACGGATTCGTGTACAGGAAAGTAAACTTTACAAGAATTATCCAGTGGATATTACTGACTAAAATTCGTGTTTAACAATGCAACTATTAAGATTATAAAAAAATTATTCTAATTTAACTCGTCAATAAATGAATCGCTGTAATTGCTTATAACTGATATAGCACGAACACGTTGCTATAAAATCGGCCTATGAATATATTATTGTAATATTTAGCCCACTAGTGAAGCCAGACTCCAGCTCCGATCAAATAGCCCGCGCCAATAATCGTAATAGCGCGATTAGAGGGATTAGTCAAATGATCCATTAATTATAAACAATCGATCAGCATTTGCCGTATGAATGTCGTTACACTTCTCCTAAATTGCGGATAATAATTCTACCCGATCGCTCCATAAATCTGTCAGCGTTCGCTCGTTGGGACCGATCAGGGATCAATGCCAGATCAGATATAAAGATAATCAAAAATTTATGATTGTGAAAAAAAAACCGTGTGTTACAATCTAAAAAAGTTTCTATTTCTCCATTAATTGAATTGCAAAATATAAATTTGCAATTTGTATAAGAAAATTATGCAATTTCACTGACTGCTAAGAACAGGATTCGATATTACGTAAAATAACTCATAATCTCAGTATCTCGTCTTCCGTTTCTTCATCTAATACGGCCGTCGGTGTTAAATTCATAATATCATCACGTGAACAACGCGGTCAATATTTGAACTTCTTGTAATCGATTTCGTGGATCTTTTACGCCACTGAAGTACCAAGAAGATTAGTCATCTGGAATACATTATCTACGTCGAATGACACTCGATGACATAGAGTTTTAACGACTTCTTTACAGAGCAATCTTGATAGCCTTTTTTTATCTCCACACATTTTGTTATCTCATATATAAATGCCAACGCATTAAGAGGCAGTCAGTCGCAAGTAAAAATTCACGGAATCTCTAATGAGGTTATAGACAGTATTGACAAATCTCTCGTCCAAAATACGAATCATCGCGCGCTTCTGAAAGGCTTTCGAACTCTCGAAACGAAAATACATAGCACGAAACGCGAATCGATAGATTTATCGGTACTTTCCATGAGCTTTACCCTGCCCACATAGGATCTCGACTTTAAATAGAATCCTCGTGTTCGACGTTCAAAAATCATAAATTTCCACCGACTATTCGTACGTGGACCCGTTGTATCGTTAAATCGGATGAATTGCGAATCGAAGGTCAAGGCTCCAAATCTGAAATGTTTAAAGTTCAATTTAGTTATTCTCAAGTTGCAAAGAATTGCAGGCAGATATTCAAAGATTAAAGAAGAATAAACGGGCACAAATCGAGCCACGTGCCCGGAAAACTTTATAATAGCCTAACGAACGTACCTAGTCTTCCAACCCCAGGCGTAGATCGCTTAATATTTGCGAAAAGTTTTTGGAGTCGCGGCATCAGGATACCATGGAGTGCGAAGATCTAGGATAATACCAGTTAGTGGAGAATTCTTATCTTTAACTTACTTAGAATTCTTTCCTAAATTGCGTTCCGCAAAGTGTCTCGATTCGGAGATCCCGGGACCTCGCAGTGGCGGAATCAACCTCCAAAGTGCCCGAAGCACAGATCATTGTATAACAAAATGTCCTGAGATTTTATAATTCCAAATGTGCGCAGTTTGACATGAAAGAAAAGAAAAATTATTTTCCATAAATAAAAGTCTATAATGAATGGCAAGAAAAGAATTATATTAAAGTACATATATATTTCTAGTAATTGCAAAAATGGAGATTCTGAGACTAGTCATTTCAATTGATTTGGTAGATCTAGTTACAAAATAAAATTCTCTATGGTGTGGACATTTTATGATTGGTCGCAAAAATTTTCATAATTTCTCCTTTCAAACGTCATCGTTACGCATTCAGAAATTATTCATCGAATATGCAGTGACAAACTTCGAATGTCATTCTAAATTTATGACACGAGAATTCCGAGTTCTTTAGGCCATTACCTTTTATATTTACATTAATTTCGGAAGTCGAAGCGAAACTCGATATCGCGTGTACGTTTTATCCCTGATATTTTATTATATTTTTTACGCGCGAAATTTTCATATTCCACGATTTCGCTTGATTTAAATAAATTAACATAAATACGTCACCAGATGTTAAAACGTGTAAACACGGGTAAACCGTGAGGTATCGTCGCGAATGGCAAAATGCATGCGCAGAAACGATAACGACTAGCCGTGGAAGAAAATCGATATCGATGGAAGTAACGTAGCTAAGGTTCATCGAGAAGCAGAAGATCTGTATATAACTCCACGGTACTTCTTCCGGCTACGACGAGGAACAATCTAATTTAGGTGTTCAGCGAAATTGTAGCCCGGAACGTTGACCCTCTTTAAGGAATATTTGAGGTGGTTCAGCAAGGTAATACTGCAGTCTCATCGCGAGAACGTATAATCGGCGATTTTTGTTCGCTCACGGTAAGGGAGAGTCTTCAGGAGCATAATGTCCGAGGAAAGAAGACGAGTGGCCATAGCGAGAGAACTGAGCGTGGAATATATAATGTTTTAATTTCGCGGAAAATCTGATGATGTAATTTCAGGAGTAGGGCGACGCCCAGCAATTGTTTCAACCGGCTTTCACTCCTGCATTATTCATGATTCTTTTCTTTTTTCCTCGTCTACGAGAGGGCCGCCTAACCTCACTCCTCTTCCTTCCTTTTCTTCCTCTGATTCTTGTTCCCTTCCCAATTCTCTCTTTCTTTCCCATCCCGTCGACTCTCCACCTACTTACGTCTTCCTCGCTACCTGCTTACATCCTTCTCTCTCCTTCCATCTTTCCATTCCTCCTTCCTTCACACTTTCCTTATCTCTATGTCTCTATCGTTCTCTCTCTCTCTCTGCTTCTTTTCGTCATTTCGTTCTCCTATCCTTCTCTCGCACGCGGCTCGCTGTGTACATCTATCTTCGTCTTACTCACGGTCCGGATACTCTTTGCTATAGGTTAGGTACGAGGTTGGAAGTGCTCGTGGCAGGCAGGCAGCAGTGTCTGCCCCACCGTGAAACCTTCTGTCATTGCAGCCTTATTTTCTTTCTTTTGCGGCCGAGAGCAGCTTCAAGGCACGGGAGAAAAGACGGTTAAGAAAATCGATCGAGGCTCACGCGCGCTTCTCGCCGGAAAAACGATAGAGTTCCTTCCTCGAATTATGAAAAGTGGTGTCTCGTTAAACTCTCCTCAGGGGCGAAAGAAAAAAGAAACCGTGATACGCTCTCCGTCCGACTTTCGAACCTCGCCACTACGTGATCCCGCAGCTGAATCTGCCTATTACGGGATTGAAAGCTAATAGAAATCGTCCGATACTCTTTACGCATGGAATATAGAGTTCCATTGATCGGTAGGCACAACGTCTAAACGTGCACGCCGTAAAGGGTTTAAAGGACGTTTTGACTTTCACTGGCTCGCCGTAGTGGCGCTGGCAGACATTATTTGTGTTTCGTTACCGGTTATTGCCCTTGACTCCCTTATATGTAATATTTATATTTGCATGGCAGACGCTACGTACGCTTGATCTTGATTATCGATAGATACGTATCAAATATTTTGTTATTTATTTGTTTAACCGCAAAAATTGTACATTGAGAAGGCATTTAATGTTAGTTAACCATTGTATCTCTATCTTGTTTGCAACACAACTATAAAGGTTTTGAGGTGTTATACTAATTTTGCACGCGTTAAAATATGTGAAATATAGTCGAATCTTGATAATTCAAAGATTTCTAAAAATTCGAAAACTCGAATAATATCGACAGCGAGAAATTAATAAGTAATTTTTATTTATAGAATAAAATCAGACACTCTATATATAAAAAACAATAAATATAAATTAACCATAAAAAAGAAAATCGGAATATACGTGAAAAATAGCTTACCTATACCTAACAATAGAACCAGAAAATAAATCTGAATTATTTACAGTAGCATTTACGTAGTTACAGATGCTCGGTAAGAGGTTATTATACGATGTACATAATTAATAACGATACTGTTTATACATATCAATGGAATCGACGATGATAATTAATTTAAAAAATTTATAATCATTCGATAATTTTAATAATTACTGAAAGTATTTTTTACCACAGTCGGTGTCTTCTGAGATCTCAATAATTAAACGTGAATAGCAGAGATAACATTCCTGACAACCCTTATGAAAATATTAATTTTCCTGGAGAATTGCAACATGATTCGACGCAATTCTCCCAGAAGATCTTGGCGGATACGAACTTTCCTCTTCGAACGTGGTTAAAGGAATCGCGAACGAATCCGATTAACGGCGAAATCGTAGGAGAGGATTTTTAATAAAACATGAACGCTAATACGTACAAACTCGGGAAACTATTTTCTTTCAAGAGGTCTCGGACAAAGGACCCCTTTCGCTCGTGACCAACATTAATAAAATGCTAATACCACGATGTAATATTAAGCCGATATTGAATAAGTATTAAACATGCAGCCACTGCCGGTTGACGAAATTGAAATTCTTCGTGAAAATATCCCAGCCTTTTGTGAAAATTATACGAGTCCCGGGTGGGAAAGGCATTGAAGTGTCCTTTTCTCGAAACTTCCGAATTCTTATATTTTCAATAAAATGGGACACGCTTTATTATTTTGCGAATATAGAAGAGAGAATCCTTGCACGAACCGAAATAGGAATTCCAATAACGTTCCAAGGGAATAGAAATGATGTTAATTTTGAATTGCTACTTATTTCTAGATGTGAAGCAAAAGAAGGAATTTGAATCTTTGATTTAAAAAACAATGAGACAAGAGTATTATATCGTGACTCTAAGATACTGGAAAATACAATTCTATGTATTTTAATTTCTATGATCTTCATTCACAAATGGTTAAGAAATGTAAGAAAAATTATCTTACAAACTCTCAATTTGTAAACTAGAATAAGTCACGTTTCGTCAATTCGACTCATTTCAAAGAATTTTCTGAGAAATTACGATAATTCATGTCATTAAAATGATTAGTCATAAATTTGAAATTGCGAATATAAATGCTTTTTAGGTGGTACGTAATTGACATATGTAGCTAAAAGTACCGTACTTTGGTTTAGTAAAATAAAACATTGAAGCAGCCAATGGAAATTTAGGAACATATATAAAATTGTTTTGCTCGTATGTACTTACCTGATGCCACCGAGAGTCTCGTCAAGTTGTACAATCGAAGTTCGTTAATTTCGATTAACGACGTCACTTCGTTAGTACGGCTGTATGAAAAAAAAACGAAAGAGATCAATCAATAATTAATTTCAAATGCAATTCAAACATTCACAAACCTCCATAGATCAAAATAAGTCTATCTTAAATTTTATAGAATAATAATACGTAGTATAAATACTTACGTTTCCATTTTCAAGTTCTTTACCGTATTTTTTCCTAGTTCAACTCATAACCTTTCATGATAGAATACAAAATGATGTGTTTTATACTCATATATACTCTCCAAATTATATGTGCCCAAATATTACCATAATTATATCGCTTCAAATTTTATTGTTACAACGAATAATATATTATAATATTTAAACGTATACATTAAGTCTATACATCGGCAAATAAATCAGACAGGAAGAAGATAAAAATTCAGGAAATGAATTAACGACAGTAGTAATTATTTGTCGGCTAAATTAGATTCGTGAAATCCCTACCTTACTGATAACCGAATATACCTGCACGCGTTTTCCTACCTAACCTAAATATAATCAAACCGACCAGTTTTAATTCTGTTGAAACCACTATACTCGGTTCACAAACACTTTAATTCACATAAAATTTAATTAATTATAATTTGATATATAATTATAATTGCAGTTATAATTGAATCGCATTTCATGAAATGTAAAATGAAGTAAATGGTGAGTTGCTGAATAACGCATAGCGTAGTATTATCTGCGAACAGTAAATCGCATTGTTTTTGTTCTTCAGATTCCGCAAATGTAGAAATCACTCCTCTTTTCTCTTACTTTTTAAATAAAACATAACTGTTTTTGCGAATATCGATTCGCATTCGCTCGTTATCTATTAGCTAACATATAGTAATTTATAATGTGCTTGATAACTCTCGGGTTATCGTTGCTATTAAATTAAATCAAGTTAAATAAATACATTTTTTATATAAGTTGCATCAAACAACTTGGCAAGATGGCATCATTTTCCAAAAATTTCTATTTTGAAAACAGTAATAAGTCAGAAAGTACATACAACATTTAACTCATTTGCAATACATATTTTATCATAGATACGTTTATTAACATGTATATAATGGAAATACATTTCTTTCATCTATTTTTTCCTTTAAATATTCCAATTGTATTTTAGTCCATTGTAAGTGTCCGCTTTAGCATGACCTGAACAAGGAAAGATATATTACTCCTACTCTTTTTGTACAAAAATAATATTTAAATTAAATGCACTATTCTCAGAAGTAGCAAATTCGAAATCAAGGCATTCATAGCTCTTGGTGAATGAATCATCACAGTATACATATACATATAAAATTAAATATTTTTTCATTCATGGGCTAATAAATAATAGATCAATAAATAAATTCAATACCTTATTTATGATGTATTGACTTCATTTTAGAGTGGCAAAGACCTATAAAAACAAAAAGAAATTGGACTACAGTAAATGTATTTCTCCATTTTTCAAATATTTTTTGTTTATAAATCAATCAGTTTAGCAAATACTTCAGCTAATCATGGCATTCATAGATCTTGGTGGTTAAAAGTTTCATCACGAAGAAATTAATGACAAATAAACTAAATACTAATACTTCATACTTACACTTCATTATATGTGTCCAAAACATTAGTGCTTGAACCTGCAATCATTTCCTTCAATTAATAATAGTATTTTAATCTTTATGTTACAATATCACTATTTATACATTTCAGGTAGCAAATACTAGAACTAATCATGGCATTCATAGATCTTGATGGTTAAAAGTTTCATCACGAAGAAATTAATGACAAATAAACTAAATACTAATACTTTATACTTACACTTTATTATAATGTGTCCAAAGGCATTAGTGCTTGAACCTGCAATCATTTCCTTCAATTAATAATAGTATTTTAATCCTTATGTTACAATATCACTATTTATACATTTCAGCTAGCAAATACTAGAACTAATCATGGCATTCATAGATCTTGGTGGTTAAAAAGTTTCATCACAATATAAACCAGAATAAGTTACTTAAACCCAGAAATATTATTAATTATATGATTACTTTAATTTATATATAATTAATAACTAAACCATCATATATTTCAAATAGCAAATACAAAATTTAATTACTGCATTCTTCAATATTAATCATTAAAATTAAAATTATACATACTACGTTATAATGTACAATGTATATAAATTATCAGAATGAAAAAGCAATGTAGCATACCTACATAAGAATGGCATTCTAATGTACATCTAATCTGAAACTAAAATAAAAAATACAAATATTATTTAAAGATATCCTTAAAACAAAACATTTTCATTGAGTACCTCACCTTTCATATACATGTAATTATCCACATACAATTGTTTTTTGGTGGGATTTTTTAAATAAATATACTGGACATAATTACAAAGAAGAAATACTACAATTAAAATTATAACATCAACTTTCATTTTAGTAACAATAACAAATTAAAGTTATTAAGTAAATTAAATAACTACATCCAAGTAAAATACTCTGACAAATAATAAACAAATCTTCTTTGCAGTATATGCCACATTTGTAAATTTACATTAAAATGTATGTTTATTAATATATACAAATTAGTCAGCCTTTTTGGTTATACGAATCTTTTTTGCAGGTAAAGGCTTTTGGGAACGTATTACAGCACTAGCTCGACGCAATGCAGACTAAAAATAAAACATTTTATATTAAACATTTGTCTTTTTGATCTACCATAAATTCTATTCCTTGTTCTAAAATAATTTACCTTAGTAAGATCTACACGGTATTTATTTTTAGTAAGCAATCTCTTTAATTTATATAAGGAACGACGAGCTCCAGCTTTCATTGTGCACCGAACTGTGGCTTTTGCAGGCTTATTCATGGCTTTAGCTTTTTTATAAACTACTGTAAATCCTTTTTTATCAGGTGTATCAACTACACCAACACTTTTTCTGTGGATCAAGCCAGAATAACGGTAACTACTCAAATTGGTCAAATTGTTTGATTCCTAAAATTTATATGACACATCAATTTATGTATCTTTATAAAAAAATACTAACTGTAGAAACATTTAAGAAAAATGTTACACTGATGCTAATAATATGTTGTACAAACCGTAGAAAATGGTTTATTAATGTTGCGTTTCTTTAAGAGAAAGGCATTATTATTACGGATAATCATCCAATTTAAATGAGACGACATCATGAATGATCTAAAAGAATTATAAAATAAAATATTTATATTAATTTTATTTATATAAATGAGTAAGTGAAAATTTCCAACAGTATGTTAACCGATACAATTATCAAAGGAAATAAAATATTCTTTATTTAAATTATAAATTTTTAAATTACTCTTTACAACGTAATTTATTAACCTATTTTATTAAGCATTATAATAAATAAAAAATATAATATCTAAATATCACAAACAGTAAAAGTAGACTCACCACGTGCACAACGTATAGAAAGAAATCAAGAAAGAACATTCAACATGGCGCACAAATGAATAATGTATCTAGGAAATTATATGAAATTCATAAATGTCCCCACGTAATATCTAGTAAAAAAATAAATATAAAGTATTTCTTTCATTAAAATTAAAACGCTATAATTTAATGGAATGAAAACGATAGAAAGGTTAAAAAAATTAATATTTGTTATTTATAATAATATTTCGTTTTTTATTAATATAAACTTTCATATAAAATTAAATTATTTATTTCTATTTGTCATATTCATGTAAAAGGTAATTCATTAAACATAGACATTATTTCATTCGTATCATATGCTTTTTCCTCTCGTTTTTTAATTTCATTAGATTCATTTCGAAAATCTTGCGGGATATAGATTGAAGTTTCATGTAAATATAAAGGATCATTCTGAGGCAATTTTTGTAAATTCACCCACCTAGATGCAACCTCTTTAAACTTGCATTTTCTGAATATCATACAATGTACATGTCGCAATTTTTCGTACTTTATTCTCATAAATCCTAATTTACTTAGGACATATCTCCATGATTTCATGAGTTTAGCATTTGCATTAACATGTTTTGAATCAGGGCTTATGATAAAAAGTATACCACCAGATTGTAATAAATTATAAGCTTTTCTGCAACTTAAGTATCTTTGTTTTGGACAGGGTAAATATTCCAAAAATAAAGAAAATACAACTACTTGGAAACAATTTTCAGATAATTGCAAAACTTCTTGTTTATCATTAGAAAATATTGTTTCTTGTCCAATTTGAACATTTAAAAAGTCACAACACAAAACTTTGTCTGGTATACCATTTAAATCTATTGCAGTTACTTCAAATATATTTACAGTTTCAAATGGATTATAACAACTGCCTACATCCAGCAGTGATATTTTTTCAATTGATTTCTGGACATTGTTAAGAAGACATTTCAAGGTATGATTTTTCTTTTGTTCAGTATTTACATTGCAATTTGTAGCAACTTTAGTTCCTACAATACTTGTATTTATTTTCAGTTTAATATCTTCTTCTCTTAGGTCATATTTCTGTCTTCCTCCATTCAGAAAATATTCTTCACATTGCAATTTAATCCATTCTAGTCTGCAATATGTTGAATTTCTAGTATTCAAGTTATTTTCCATCCAATATATAGTTGCCAATGTCTGCATAGAAGATGCATATTTCTAAAACACACATATTTAAGGTTATTCTACAATATTTTTCGAACATTATTTTTATTTTATCTTACATTTAAAAAATAATATTTAAAAATGAATCAAACCTGTAAATTATCTTTACGACTTATGTGTCTCGTCCACGCGATCTCAGGACCATAATTTTGAGCTTCTCGCCGCAACGTGGCATGTGTATTTTTTATAATATCTGCTAAACATTTATGTTCTTTTGACACCATTTGAAATTTTACATACGCATTATTACATAAGCACGGCATAAAATACCGGAAGAATAAATTTTTTTAATTTTATATAATAAATAAATTACAATAACAAATACGAAAGTGTTAATGGTTCTTTTTGTTACTTTAATCTTATATCCAATTTTTGACGTTTCATTAATTGCCGTCATTAACCCCCATGACCAAAACAATGGCGGGTTCCGCACTAAGGCGATTAATGGCAGAGTATAAACGTGAGAATAAAATTTAGTCTTGCAGTTTACATTTCATTAAAAACTCCATACAAAATTTGTTCCATTTTTATTTTTTCTATTGCATTATAAACTATAATATAATGAGTACTGCGTGACTTGCAGAATTAACCTTAAATCCACCTGAAGGTATAATCGCTGGTCCAATAAATGAGGAAAATTTTTTCGAATGGGAAGCCTTAATCACGTACGTATTTAACAATAAATTTTATATTTTTTATTTATACAAATTCTTTTTATTTGTAAAAAAATTTGTTTTCGTTTGTAATGTCTTTATATAGTTGAATATCTATCCCATATTTTTATCATAAATTTTATAAAAAATGTAATTTAAATTTTGCTTACATATAATATATGTTCAATCAAAAATTTCTTATAAATTAAATGTTTGATCTCTACCTATAGTGGTCCAGAAGGAACATGCTTCGAAGGGGGAGTTTTTCCAGCAAAATTAATATTTCCACCAGATTACCCCTTAAGTCCACCAAAAATGCAATTTACTTGTGAAATGTTTCATCCAAACAGTAAGATTTTTATAGTAGTGCATATTATTATTAGATTGACTCTTTACTAAAATTAAAAAGTAAGCAAGAATTTATATTTTTTTAGTTTATGCAGATGGTAGAGTATGTATAAGTATATTACATGCTCCTGGTGATGATCCTATGGGTTATGAAAGTAGTGCAGAAAGATGGAGTCCAGTTCAAAGTGTAGAGAAAATATTGTTAAGTGTGGTAAGTATGTTAGCAGAACCGAATGATGAAAGTGGAGCAAATGTCGATGCTGCTAAAATGTGGAGAGAAGATCGCTCAGAATTTGAAAGAATTGCTCACAAACTAGTTAGGAAAACACTTGGTATTCCACCTTAAATTAAAATATTTAATATTTAATTAAAAACAAAAATGTAATTAAAGTATCATATAATTCAATGCAAATATATACTGTGTTTAAATTAATATTTTATTGAAATGTGATATATACTTACAAACATGTTTTACAATCATGTATAATAGTGGTAAAAGTACAGAATTAAAAACAAATTGATAACTCAATATATTAGTCTTAAAAAATGTATTTTATTTTCAACATTGCAGTATAAACATGGGTAATCAAATACATATGCATTTGTTTAGACTTAGAATACCTTTGACTGTAATAGATTAATGAAAAAAAAATCTTTCTTGTGCTCATAGATATCAAAAATTTAAATTGTGTAAATTATTTAAATTACATTTTCGAAAATAGTGCTAAATATTCAGTAGTAAACAATTTTCTAATAAATCATTTTATTGTGGCATTGAAAAATATTTACAAAAAGAAACTGGAGTAACATTTTAGATGAGTACATTATAGATATTTTTGGAGTATAACAAAATTTGTACATTTAAAACTTATAATAAAATTATTGTTATCATTACAAATTATAGAAACTTATTTATAGATGGGAAAGGTTTATAAAAGTAGCATGTCTTTTTTAATTTAAACTTAAAATAATTTTTTTATCATAAAAGTAAATAAAAATGTTTTTACTCAGATTTCATTTTTCTTTTTTATAGTGTAATACAGTTATCTTAAAGTTTCAATGAATCATCCACTCTCCTGTTGTGCATATTTGAAAGCATACCTTGTATTATCTTAGATATTTACAAAATTAAAAGATTTATAATAGGTTTCTGATTATCATGCATCCTTCACTCTAATGATCATCGAACTTGGTGATAAATTATATTAGACTAGAATAAATAAGTTAAAGAATATTAAATTATAGTTTAACTATAACTGTTAATTCTTCTTAAAATAACAATAAAGATTTTACATATTTTTAAAACTTTCTTCTATTAAAATTGTTTGGATTATATCTTTGAAAAAGACAAAAAAATAAATGCAAGTATTTGGAAGTAAATTGATATTTATTAGTAAACAATACTGAACTCCAACTTAAAACGCAATGTTTATGACTAGCACTTGTCAATTATTTATAATAAACAATAATAAAAAACTGTGTATTAATATATTATAATCAAAGTATAACATTGCATATGACTAATTTTAATCAGTTAACTCAAAGTTTCTAATTTTTGTAATGGTATGTTTTGCATACATTCATTATTTGTATGCAATTAAAAAAAGACTATATATATACTCAGAATAAATTGACAAAGTTTTAAGTTAAGTTTTAAGTTAATTTCTAAGGTAATAAATAATCAATGTTTCGAATAAAAAGATATTTAAGGTAGATATATATACAATTAGTTTTATAAAATGTGATTAATTAATAAGTCAATGTTATACTTTGAATACAATTATAAACTTTGGCATATAAGAAATAAATTACTGCTCTATGCCAAGTGCATTTTTTAAATAAAATATTAGCTATAATAGTTTTCTAATTAGATATTAAATTGAACTATACATTTTCATAATAAGGTTCATGAATTTTCTATTTAAAAAAACTGTTCAAGAATATTTAATAAGATTAATGATCACTTCTTGAAAATGCACAGTTAGTTACAACTTTAATATTAACAATAATATCACATTTCATTATTAAAAATGTAGAATTAAATTTAATGCTTTCTACATGCTTTCATTTAAAGAGGCATTCCAAAGATACAATGCTGTCATTCAATGTCACACTTCTTATAATCATCACATAAAAGAACTATCTTTTGAATATATTTATCATTCAACAACACTTGGCATAGAATTTTTGTATTTCTTTCTTCATATTGATGTTACTTGTAGTGAAACATAATTAAATAAAGCATTGATATTCTTCAATAATGCTAATTTTTTCACAAGAATACATATGTGCAACTTATATTAATGTAAAATACATTTGTTATAAAATGGTACTAATTCTGCTCCTATATACCTCCCTCTGTGACTGAGGTATCATGGTGCCTTTAACCATTAATTATACGCACATGCTTCACATATGTTTAGATTTATCCTTAGACAAAGTCTTCTCAGACAATCTGGTAATAGTAATTGTATTGCAAAATCTACCACGTGAATATTGAGTATAAAATTTGTTTATTTAGTACTGCAAAGTTCACGAAAGTGCAACAAAACATTTCTGAGCAATATGTATATGTGGCCCTTGCTATTCCATGATTCATGAAGCTGCACAGGAAAAGCAATTTAAAAATAAAATAAAACAAAAATTCGTTAATTAATTTGTCTAGTAACAGTCAGTACACATTTTGTATAAAAACTTTCATCTCCTTTGAAAAATCTATCTTTATATCAATGCTTCATAGTGAGCTCTGTATAACATTACAGAATACAAAGTTTATCAAAGTAATGTCTCTATTTCTGAAGACGAGATTATACACCTCTTCAAAAAAGGGACAAAAATAAAAATATATATTATTACAATTTACTAAATCTTATCTGAAGCTCCTTTCTACTTTTCGATTTGGTTAGTCGAAATTGTAAATTGAAAACTTTTCACTTGATTTATATTAATTCTTAGTATTAAGTTATACTCTAAAATTTATGAAATGATTGCAAATAAAATATAATATCTGAATTTAAGTTTTGAGAACATTACTAGAATTGAAAAAGATTATCTACATAGTAAAAGCTTTTACTTACAAGAAATTAAATATATAATATAACTAAATTCAATTAAGTGCATTGCACGATGTAATCTTGTTAAGTTTATCTGAGCACAAGAATAAACAGTGACTTCGATTACCTTGATTCAACTGTATAATTTAAGGAATCAGAATTCTATAATTTATAATTTTACATAGCACCAGTCGCTAATCAGTTTTAACAAAGAATTTGTTTACCTTTCAAGGTAAATATTATTAAATCTTACTTTAAAATTGGCTATAAAGAATGAAAACAAGTGTAATACATTTAAAAAATTGCACATCATATATTAATTATCCTTTATAGACTTAAAAAATCACAAAATATATATATATATATTATATATATATATATATATATATATATAATA